TCCCCTGACACACACACGTGCACACAGAGCGCTCCCCTGACACACACATATGTGCACACACACACAGCGCTCCCCTGACACACACACGCGCGCACAGAGCGCTCCCCTGACACACACACACATGCACACACACACACAGAGCGGTCCCCTGACACACACACACAGCGCTCCCCTGACACACACACACACACACAGCGCTCCCCTGACAGACTCCAGCCCTGATCTAAGAGGCACTTGGTGGTGACAGGGGGATCCTGCCTCCCAGCTCAGCACTCCCTGAACTGACAACACTGTCTGAGGAGAATCTACAGGCTCCCACCACATCCTCCTCAGCCCGTTCTCAGGGCCACGCTGCCTAGGCCGCAGCTGGGCTCCGGGGCCCGGTTCTTCAGTGCGCTGCCCCTTGTCGCAGCATAGGGGCGAAACACTGCCCGGTGATACTCTCTACACGCGGGTAAAGGACAGCACACACTGCGCGGCCTGGTGGCTTTCCACTGCCCATCTCTCATTGCGTTTCATTTCTTCCACGTTGCCTCTCTGCCACCCCGCAGCCTCGCCTCTAACCATAGGCCGGGGGCAGATGTTTCTGACGGGCAGATGTCAGCGCAGTGGTCCCAGGATACGAGCCAGACAAGCTGAGCAAGGGAGCGTCTTCTTTGGACCCACTTGGAAAGTACCAGCTTGCGAGCGACGCAGAGCCGTTCTGCGGGGCGGACGTGGTGAACAAAGCCGCTGATTGAGCCGGGCCCAGATGGGCAGCCCTGCTGAATCCAGCCATTCTTCAGCACCCGCGGGGCCCAAAGTGGTGGCGATGGGCAGCGTGGGTGTGTGTGACTGGCAGTGAGCTCACCCCTCGGAACCCCGCCCCCACCCAATCTTGATACCACCCAGGTCATTTGCTCTCATGCGGAACCTCGGGTCCCACAGCCCGGCAGCTGAGACGTCAAGCTTCACAATTGGTTCATCATGTGAAACCCACCGACACCCCCCCCCCAACTTGCGGGGCAAGGGGGGGACTCAAACCAAGAGCTAGTAACACCCCCACCAACCCATTCAGAAAGCAGCTACTTTGATTATTATGTAACAACATGTTGCTCTTCGACATGCCCGAAGCGACACACAGCCGGAAGCTGAAATTCGCATCTTTACCTGGGGAGGGACACAGCTGGGGGAGTGAAATCCACCAGCGGAGAAAATAAAATCCATGACCCCTCCCTCACTGCCCCCTCCTCAAAAAAAAAATCAGTGCCAACAAATCCAAGAGATGAGTCCCGCAATAGTAGGAATTCTGCAGCCCACACAAAGCCAGAGGCGGGGCTTAATTTGGGCTTGGCAGTTCAGAGCCCCGGCACCTCTGGGCCGGGCACTTCAGGGCCCCGGGGCCACTCTGGGCCAGGCCCTTCAGGGTCCCGGGGCCCTGCTGGGCTTGGCAGTTCATAGCCCCGGCACCTCTGGGCCAGGCCCTTCAGGGCCCCGGGGCCATGCTGGGCTTGGCAGTTCAGAGCCCCAGCACCTCTGGGCCAGGCCCTTCAGGGCCCCGGGGCCATGCTGGGCTTGGCAGTTCATAGCCCCGGCACCTCTGGGCCAGGCCCTTCAGGGCCCCGGGGCCCTGCTGGGCTTGGCAGTTCAGAGCCCCGGCACCTCTGGGCCAGGCCCTTCAGGGCCCCGGGGCCATGCTGGGCTTGGCAGTTCATAGCCCTGGCACCTCTGGGCCTGCTGCATCAGTTATGAATGTAAAAAGAAAAAATTGATTGAGCCCCCGGGGCGCCTCTTTCATTACAAATTAAGCCCTGGCCAGAGGGGAGGAGAAGCCAAGGGGATCCGGGGAGCTGGCTGCCCCCGGGGGAGGCGAGGAAGATGGTCAGAGACGCAGCTCACTGGGCACCGATTGAAACCACCCGGTCTCGCCCAGCGCCCGGCTGGCGGAGCAAGGCGGCATTTCTCCTGGCAGGGATCCAGGCGTGGAAACGCGGAAATGGGGGGGCGGGGGGGGCGGTAGGTTTGAAACTGACCCTCTCAGGTGGATGAAACTGGCTGATGGAGTTGGGATTGGTCCTGCCTGGAGCAGGGGGCTGGACTAGATGCCTCCTGAGGTCCCTTCCAGCCCTGAGTCTCTGCTTCATTGCACATCAAAGGGGGACCCCAACAGCAGCCCTGGGGAGGGCGGGGGGAGAGGTCCGTTTAGCAGCTGCCCCCGGATCCCGCAAGGGCGGGGGCTCTTACCTGCCCCAGCGGCGCTGCTCCGAGGCCCCGAGCTCGCTGGGATGCGCGGCGCGGCGGGGCGGTGCTGGGCTCGCTTCGCTCCTGCCGCTCGCTTGCCAGTCTCCGCGCTGCCTCTGGGGCTCTTAAAGCAGCAACGCCGCTGGAAGGGAGCTGGCTGGGTCCCACCAGCGAGCCGGGGACCGAGCTGGCGGCTGGTCCGTTTCAACCCAATGGGTTTCAACCGGGGCTCCAGAGACCCCAGTCTAAGATCAGCCGGGTGTGTGAATAACCTGATCTGCCCCCCTCCCTTGCAGATCTGACTTGAGCCAGGCAGGGGCTGCAGGGGGCATCAGTTATCTCCAGCAAACTGGGGGGGAAGCAGGGTGCAAGGGGGGGGGGTGTTTCCAATAGACCATTTTGAAAGAGCACCAGGGTCATTTTTTAGGGGCTGAGGCAGAGAGCAGAGCCAAGGCCGGGCTAAGGCTGTGGGATCGGACGGGCCCTAAGGCGTGGTGGGGTCAGAATGAAGGGGATGCGGCTGGATGAGTGAATGGGAAGCGGGGGAGTGAATGGGGGGATAGGAGAGCAGAGGGTCCATCGAGGGTGGGTGAATGGGGGAACAGGACCGCAAAGGAGTGAACGGGGAGGGGATCGGCTCCTTTCCCCCCCAGAATTGGCAGGGAAGCGCTGCCCATTCCTGCCCGCAAAGCACTTTGCGATCTCAATGAAGGTGTGCCCCTTCCCTCCCCTCCCCCCCCCAAACACAGTTTACATGGACAAGCACGGGCCTCAGGACTGGCTCAGGTGGGGAGGATATTACCAGAGGTTCCCCACAATCAGCCCTACCCTACTCCTTGTCCCTCTGCCTGCCCCTGCCCTGGGTACTTAGGGGGGGGGGCACCAGGAGCCTGCTCACCAGCTGGGGTGCTCGGCAGGCGCCGGGGGAGGTGTGGGGCTGTGGGTCCAGACAAAGGCCGGGGAAGGGATTTCCTCATGGGGAAGCTCTAGGGCCTGGATTCCATTCCCCCTCCCTCCCCCCCCCACACACACCAGGGTCCATGTGCCAGTGTAATGGGACCAGACTTTCCAGGCACTGAGCGTGGGGGGGGATTCTCTCCTACCCCAAGGAAGTACAAGGGCTTGCTCCCACGGAGGTCACCCTGCTGTGGGACCATTCACCAGCCCGTTCCTCCCCCTCTCATACAGCTGCCCTGGGCCTCAGTGATACCCCTCTTGCCCCCTGGTCATTCACCCCTGCCAAGCAGATGCTGGCCCCACACTCCCTCCCCCCAGCAACCCCCATCCCCGGTGATTCGAATCTCAGCAGGCCCCCCGCTGTGAATGCACAAACACACACACACAGACACACGCACACCCCAGCCATCAGGATGTCCCAGCCCCTGACACCCCACAGCCGTGCTGCCCCCCCCCCCCGCCTCCACCCACACAACTGGGTGTCTGCACTCCCCTCACTCCAGATCAAACAGCAGCAAACCAACGGTGACTTACACCCAGATTTATTGTGCTGATCATTATTCACATTAGTCTACCCAGGAACCAAGGGACAGAGAGAGACGGTGGCAGCTGTGGTGTTGGTTGACTTTGAAGCAGGCGGCCCCGAGGGGCACAGGAGGGGGGGAGAGAGGAGAATCACAGAGGGATCAGCGCCGGGGCCTTTTCCTGTTCGCCCCAAGGTGGCTTCCGCTCAGGATCACGCCCTGAAATGACCAAAAAGACTCAGTTAGGATCCCAGGGACCTAGTCGGCACCACTTCCTGTCCAGAATAAAGAGCCACCTGTTAGCTTAGGGGAGTCACAACCCCAGAACTCTCCAGCCAAGAGCCCCACGGCTTAGCCTGGGTTAGAGATCGATACTTGCCCTGCACCCAAACCGTCTCCTCCTCTCCTCTGCTCCTCCCCCCACTCATGTCCCAGGACCCCCAGAGCAACTCTCTGAGGACGGTGCCCAGCTGTATCCAGGACTCGGTAGGTCTCCTGATTCATGCGGGGCAGGGGTCCCCCCGCGCTGCTTGTGTAAATGTCTTTCCAGACTGCCGTCCCCTTTGCAGGAGGCAGATGGGTCTTGCATCCCCCAAGTTTCACCTCACTTCAAAACTACTTGCTTACAAAAACCGGACGTCAAAATACAAACATGTCCCAGCGCACTAGTCCTGGGAAATTGCTGCCTGTCTCGTGTTTACCATGTAATTATCAAATAAATCCACTGGAATATAAATATTGTCCTTACATTTCAGGGTATAGACTACAGAGCCATATCAACAAATCGTTGTATGACGTTTTAGTTTGTATTGGCTTCGCTAAGTGCTTTTTATGTCGCCTGTTGTAAAACTAGGCAAGTATCTAGATGAGCTGCTGTACCCCCTGGAAGATCTCTGCGGACCCCGAGGGGTACATGTGCCCCTGCTTGAGAACCGCTGGGCTAGAGGACCACGGTTTTGGGGTGTGTGAGTCCAGCACTTGGTCCAAGCCTGGGGATACAAATCATATGTCTTAGGGAGTGGGATTTGGATTCCTTATGCCCTACGACCTCTCTGCCCTGCCGCTTCTCACATCCACCGCCGCAGCCAACCGCAATGGGGAAACCCATCCGCTTGACGGGTCTGCTGAACCGATCAGCTGTCTCTGGCTGGGTCTGTACAGCGCCTTGCACCTCAGAACCCAGGCCTGGGTGGAAGCATCTAGGCACTGCCATAAAACGAACAGGAAAACAGCAGCTCAGTGCCACCTAGGGTGACCAGATGTCCTGATTTTATAGGGACAGTCCCAATTTTGGGGTCTTTTTCTTATATAGGCTCCTATTACCCCCCCACCCCCATCCTGATTTTTCACATTTGCTGTCTGGGCACCCTAGTGCCGCCTAAGTGTACCGAGCCAGCTCCCAGGGTGTGACTGGGGACTGCAGCCCAGACCTTCAGCCCCCTCCCACGCGAGCTAAAGGCATGATCCCTTGGCTGGAAGCAGCAGGGCTTGCTGTCCCTGGGGGCTGCCCCTAGATGGAGACATGGAAATGGGAATTACAGAAGGGATCTTGTCCCCTCCTCCCAAGGGTGAGCAGGTCTGATGCTCTGCTGGGCCCTCCCGAGCCCCGGCCACCACCTCAGAGCAGCAGCCCCCCCTCCCTGGGGGCTGTAGGGCTGCAGGAGGTTCTGGTGGGGCAGGTGTGACGCTGGGCAAGTGCAGGCAGAAGCCAGGACCCCTGTAAAGAGGCTTCGCCCCTCAGCTCCACCCTCTGTTACTAACACGCCAACGGCCGCCCCGCCGCAGAGACGCTTCCTCCACCGTCCTCGGGCCACTCCTCGGGTTCTCAACCCAACCGAGCGCTCGCCACAATATTTTCATTCCCTCCCCCCTTATTTAATGAGAAGAGTTTGTGGAGTTTATAGAGCTAGACTGAGGAGCCTACTAAGATCTTGGGATGGAGAAAGGAACAAATGGATGGATGTGTATGGGAGAGGGAAGGATGGCGGGTTGGTATGGGATAGCAAGGGATGGAGGGATGAGTGTGTATGGGATAGCGAGGGATGGCTGGATGGTGGGTGGGTGGGTATGGAAGGGAAGGATGGGTAAGGGATAGCGAGGGATGGATGGTGGGTGGGTGGATATGGGATAGCGAGGGATGGATGGT